TTGTCAAGGGAGGTGTTCCCCGAGGCAAATAACCTCCAGAAATTCAAGGATAACACCAATTCCTACCTTATTTCCTTTGAATCTCACGATGTTCTCGGAACATTACAGGATATCCCTCTTCGTGGGAACCAGAACTTTAAAAAAATACACAGTCAACTGAGCTATCACCTTGCTCGAAAGTACTTACTCTCTTAGAGATACACAAAAACTTTTATAAATTTAGCGTGCATTCCGATTTCCATGATTATGCAACGAGGGATTCTGACAAGTTGAGACCACAAAGATATCGACTATAGAAGTATCCGAACGTAATTCTTTGAATTTGAATTTGTTTAACAAATCACCTAAAGATGTACGCAACCTTGACCTCAATTATTTCAAGAAAGTCCTCAAGGACCACTTTCTGAGATTATGTAATTACTCTGTTGAGGAATACTTATCTTCACCAGATTCATCATTCTCTCTATGAAAACAACTGAAAAAAAACATCGTTCATACATCTCATATTTGCTCTGCGAATTACAATTCCAATTCTGTTTTTCTCACCTTTTGTGAATTGAGGAAGAAAAATAAGTCCTCACGAATTATTGTTTTATATGTGGTACATGTCACTGTTAAGTCTGTTTTATTTGCCAGAAATGTACGTGTATGACTCTATTCTGCATACTTTTAATGTGTTTTTTCTTATCTACTACATTCAATATGTCCTTTGTACCTGACTTGCCAAAAACATAAGATTTGTAAATTGGTGAAATAAATATTCTATTCTATGAAGAAGGAAGAAACACCGCCTCGACGGTCGTTTATTATCAGTATCCCCCCGCCGCGGCGTTCGTGTAGACAGTATCATCTATTATTTCTTTATAATTCCATGTCCGTTAATCACATTCCATCACCAACTTTGACTAAAAGATAAATCTTGATATTTTGGCGCCAACCAGTTCCTGTTGTGTATTTTCCTATTGCTAAATCTCGTATCTCGATAGGCAATTTTCGTTCTGAAATATATAATGTTGATAATCATATTGCCAATCAATTTTAGATTATAGGTCAGCAGTTCATCCACGAAACGTACCTTTGAAATTACGCGAATACATATATACAGGGTGTTTCGATATTCGACCAACACTACTTGACAGGTGATAGCTCTCGTGATTTCATGATTGCTTAGATAGGTACATACGGTCTTCGAGTGTTTAGTTCTTGAGATACAGGGTGTTGGAGTTGATGGATAAAGAAGGTTTTTTTTCAATAACTCAAGAATGATTGAATATTTCGTATTCAAATTCGGTATATGGTTTCACCTTCGAATGGGTCATTTTGTGACCAAAAGGTGATTCCGGACATTTCATCCAGTGGAGCGCTACAGGAGTTCCTGGTTACTTTTATTCACATATTTCCTACGCCGTTGATGAAATTTCGATTATTTTCAATTTCTCGAATTCATCGTTAAATTTCATTAAAAAAATGCATCATCCTCAAATGAATGTTATGCATTTTTTAGAAAAATAATCTGGTTGGGACATGGCTCGGCTGTGGACTCCTGGGATAAAATCAAGCTGATTCAAGCCAACTTACCTATATCCAAAATTGCTAATAATCTTGCTAATAAAAAGAGTACGCTGAGATCGATTTTTATTATTTTTGGAATGGCATGTTCTGTGACTGTAAGTCACGTTTTGAGATGTTTTTGATCAATATCAGTGACCTGCAAGTGTTTCAAACAACCATGCATGTTGCCGTACAAATTGGTGATAATTTTTCAGAGGCCAGACTGTTTTTTTCCAGAAAGATATTCCCTTCAGAAATATTTTTCGTACCGTGTTAATTTTTGATAAGTCTCTAGGTTCATTGGCAAATACAAAGTTCCTGATCTGAGGCATCCTATGCATCTTTTAGAAAAATAATTTGGTTGGGACATGGCTTGATTTTAGCCAACTTACCTATATCCAAAATCGTTTCGTTGAGTTGGTACAAGGCGTTAAAGTTCTCACATTAGGTCCTATATAATTATCACTCACTGATACCTGTTTACTTCATTTCAAATTTTATTTAATAGTATATTATGTAACAAGTGTTATAAACGTCCTTTTAGTAACGAGTATTTTAAGCACGAGCGGAGCAGAGCGGAGCGAGTGTTCAATAAACGAGTGTCTAGAAGAGTTTATAAACGCGTTACATACTATGCTTTTTCTTCGAACTCCTAAAATTACATTAACATACCTGCTATTCCTGCTAACCTACAAAATAATTCGAAAGAAATGGGAATTGAGAACATAATAGATGCAACTGATGCAACCAGCGAGACACGTATAAGTGATATTGGTTGATGATGTAGTGTACAGTCCATAGCTTACTAACCTTTAATTCACGTTCATTGTCATGCTTAGCGCAGAATAAATAAAATGTTCTCAAAGATTTCCTCCATTTTTACACTTCCTGGAGATATGCAAGTACCAGAACATTATCTTTGATTTCACTTTCGTCCACATTTCGCATATATTTTCAATGAAGAATTCTGATACAAACGCATATTGTTTGAATAATTCTGATACAAAATGTGAAAATAACAGTTGTGTTTGATGAACTGTGTTGCCATGGTAATGTGTTTAAGGAATCGTGTTGCCATGGTAACCTGTTTAATATTTTGAATAAATCACAGATCGACAATCCGTGATTAATCGATCATTTAGCGTGGTACATATCCGTACGCTAAATGCCATTTTAGTTATGTGAGTAAAAAAAACTATAAACATGTTCCAATAATCGTTTTACCATGCTAATTATAACCATGTTTTTGCCTTTTTCTTCTCAACGTGAGTACCAATCTGTTACTTGATATACCTACTCAGTGTTCGTTGTTCTTTGTAGAATAATTTCTTTCTGGCTGACGACTTGCAGAGGTTTTATTATATTCAAGTATGATACTTATAGTTTGCTATGATACAATTTTGCTGTGGTATTATTCGATGAATGTAGTCGCTGGTGCCTATTTTACTAAAATTTTTGATATTTCCTTCCGACTATTTCTCTGAGTGAAGTGTAACCACACCATACGGATTCGATACAATATTTCATGAAGTATCAAAGATCAATTATGTTTATTCATTTCTCACTGGTTTTGATAAGAGTAAGATATATATGAAACTTCGACATGTACATTTTTTGTTTTTTCTTACAGAGGTTGAATATATCGATGAATATTTTTTCAAATATATCTCAGTTATGATATTTATGAATTGATAGCTTTGCCCCCACAGTTAAGTAAAGTTTTATAAGTCCCATTTGATACAATGATCCTATATTATATTGAGTCCTTCTACTACATTTTGATCATCCCATGAAAGTGACATTATCCATATCGTTCGTTTTGGGTTATTTATGTCATATACATATCGTTACAGTATCTCTGAATGGGAATTGGAATGGGATTGAAATGTTCATTTCCCTAGAATCTTTGAGATTTTCTTTCCTCGTTTCAACGTTTTTTTTAACCTCTCGATCGCGTCATGATATCCCTTTTATATCCGAGAAACATTGTCGATACCTATGGAGAGGATAGAAAGATGAGAAGGTTGGTATTGGAATTATTTCAACTCTTGTAGGGGAATACTGGATAATAATGATTCTGAAGCTGCGTCATTCTATAGATATTCCCATTATGTTGAGGAATTGGTGAGTGTGGCATCACCAACCAGGTGAGTGGCTCATCTCTGAAGGGAATCTGAGAGCATCAGCGTATGTATGGTCGCTGATTGTCATAAGTGGGCACATTAATCGGAGAATAAATACAAGAAGCTCAAAATCATTTCCACACAATGTCGATGAAATACAACACAACAATGGTAGATTTCAGGACCGAAAAACTACTTTCCTAGCTAATGCCACGCAGAACATTGAATTACATCCTCTCGAAATCTATGCATCGACTCGTATAAACGAATAATGATACAAGTTATTCTTTCCTGAATGCCTATTGATTTCGATTTAGCCAGTCCACGCTAGACGCCTACAGACCGGTTTCGAGCTCTTTGACTCTCATCAGTGTAGGGCAGTCTCCAGCCAGCAGTCCTAAGACCGCCAACTAAGCGTAGCCTAGCCAAACAAAATTAACTCGGCGCATTATATTCCCTCAGAGGCGTCCTCCATAGACAATATGAGAGCAACGCCATCTGAGTAGAAAAGAAGGAAAGAAACACTCCAAGACTAAGGTGATTTCAGCTACGACATAGTCACAATGCTAAAAGTGGAATGAAATCAGGAGGGGTGAAAGAACTTACAGTCACAACTTCACCACATAACAATTTGATAAATACCAACGGTCATGGACAAAAGGACATGTTACGAAGGATTAATCCTTCATCATCAGCAAATTTATAAAAAGAAGAAAATCTGTAAGAAGAAAACAACGCTCAATTGAATCAAAAGTGTAACTCATTATTCCAAATTTTTTGGGATTTTCTCTCCTCGTTTCTATTGAATAAAAATATGAATATTATTTCAATATACGTGTAGTAAGGACAAATCAGATGATTTGCCCCAAAATGTCACTGCGTTTAAAGAATTTTCCTATCAGAGAGCCTAAAAAAAAATTCACTAGCTTGTCAGTGACAATTTGTATTGAAATAAGTTTGGAGAAGAGAAATAAAGGTATATAGAAAAAATAGCAAACTTTCACTTATCTTTGGACGTTTCGGGACCGATTCTGCTCCCGTTTTCAACAGGTAACTGTTTTTGAACTGGAAAAATATTGTATTCCTACTTTTCTATGAACATTTCTGGAACATGTGTACTCTCGTTCCCAATTCAATCAATCTAGAGATGAGTTGCAATGTACTCTAGAAGAATCATTCTCTCGAATATAATCGAATATTTTGAGTATCGAATTGTTTGGCGCTTCCTAAAAGACTAACCTAACACTATGTCAATTAATTGATACTCATACTGTATCCTAAATGAAATAAGATGCGAAAAACAATATTGAAACTATTTATTTTCAGGAAATATGAAGGCTATCCTTTTGTTGGAGTATACAAAGCTGGTATACCAGTTCTACTCGTCAGAGACCCGGATCTCATCAAGAATATAGTACAGAAGGACTTCAACATATTCCACGAAAACGATATATTCGTTGATAAACAAATCGACCCCATATTCGGCAGGAATCCTTTCGCAGTGAAAGGAGCAGAATGGAAGAATATCAGATCCCAGATGACTAGTTGCTTCACTTCTGGAAAGGTATGTAAGTATTCTTGTTTTCTAAGATCTGTTCATTGCAACATGATTGAACAAGAAGAATTGATCCAGATGTTCAAACTAGTATCTTGAATTGCTAGTAGGGTAACTCTTCTATTTCCCACAGAAATTTATTTTGAAAAAGTTAATTTCTCCTTGTCTTTAGATGTCGCTGTTTGCAAAGCGACCTAGTCTCGATAATCTGGATATATTTCGTGGATAAATACTTGAATGTATTCTTGTTGGGTCAGGTATGAAACCATTGGCGCTTCGATGGCCCATTAATCTCATCGATGGCATACCCCAGACTATAGAGTGCCTCGAATATAGTTTGGAAAGGGATAAGTGATTAAAGCTAATAACATTGTTCTCGCGGTATCAGGAAATTAGTATTTGGCATTTTTAGAAAATCCCTGGAAGAATACGTTTGAAGGAGAGATGATTCTTCTTCTTAGTTTGTTTGCCTTAACGCTTCTGTTCTCAGATCAGAATGAGACTCATGATAGAACCATTAAAATCACGATTTTTCAACGACAGAAGATTAGGTACCTACTCATTTAAATCACTAAATTTCTTTTGGAAAAGCATTGTGAATAAATCATTTGGTTAACAGTGATGGGCCAACAATGAATGAGCAATAAATGGACGTACTGCTCCGCAAACATTGGCGTTAGCATTAGCTAGGAAAGTTTTTGTTCTTCTTTGGTTGTTGACCATTTTCGTTCATTGATTCTGTGAACTCAAAGGCAGGGCCGATGAATTCGATTCATCATTATGCCATTGGATACAAGTTAGCGAAGACCCATTGGTTTTATGTCTCCACTGGGCAATTCCATTAATAAAATGTGAATTGAATGGATACATATGCAAGTCCCAATGGAATCAGTATATGTATATGTTTCATTTTCCTACTACCACCTATGAAAGCAGCATTGCGAAAGTGGAAACGAATAGTGTGGCAATATTCCTGCACGCTCACGTGAACTTTGTTTGGTCTATATATTCACTATATTTCAATACTTACTCTCATTGTATATTCATTCTAGTTAGAAACACTCGTTTCATGTTCTCGAGTTGATTTCCAATCATTTCGATCCAAAAAAAATTGCGCTATCTCTTTAAATGAAAGAGGGAGGGAAGGATGAATAGTACTCTGGAGAAACTCTTATTACTACAATTTGGTGTAACGGAATCAAGCGATCTTGGTCTCATTATGAGGAATTTTTGCAGATCTTTCCGATGAATCACGAATCAAGTCGATTCAAATTCCGTGGTGGCCGCTAGATGGCATCGTTTGAAAAATCAACCGATTTGCCATTTTTTTTCGAGAATTTCAAATAGAACCATATATTTTTCCTGCTGTGATATGGAAGTGAAGTAAACGAGCAGAAAAATGGTGAAAACCGCACCTCTTGAAGAACCGGATAAATACTCGGAATAATATTAAAATTTAAACTGTTAGCATGTCAAATGCCTTCTCATTCGTTATCGGCATTTCGAAAAATAAGCAATCCATAGTGAGAACTTCCAATTGAACTTCAATTATATTTTGACGTTTCTTTCATTCAAAGCCAACTTGCCTATTCTCATTCCTGAGCCTACCCAGGTAGCACATCATATTGGCTGGAACCCGATTTCATATTGGGCCGATATAGATATATCGTACATGTGAAAAATAATATAGGTCCAATATGAGAGTATATTGGACAAACAATATTGGAATGATAATATTGGTGGAATATTGGTTCAACCTGAGCTGAATATGGATTGTCAGCTACAATATTGGAGCAATATTGGTTGTAAAATTCGTTAACAATGTGTTGAAAAACATATCTATGAATGTTATATAATATTGTTTTACGAATGTCGATACAACAACATCGTATACATATTGTTCCCGACATTTACAACCAATATTGCAATTTGAACATTCTCCCCATGTCGATTCTGAAGCGGTTATGCAATATTGTATTTTCAAGTTAAACGGCATATCGGTTGGATATTGTTTTAACAATATTTGAAACATTATATTCACCCATCTTGATTGATATCATTTGATCTATATCATGCGGAAGATATCGTATACAATTTGCTTCTTACATTTATAACCAATATCGCGATTTGAATATTGTCCCCATGTTGATTCTGAAGCGGTTGTGCAATATTGTATATTTGAGTTCGACGGCATATTGGTTGAATATTGTTTCAACAATATTCGAAATATCATATTCACCTATCTTGATTAATATCATTCTATCCATATCATGCGGAATATATCTTATACATATTGTTTCCAACAATTATAACCAATATAGCAATTTGAACAGTCTCCACATATCGATTCTGAAGGGGTTTTCAATGATTCAAATATGAATATCAATAACGGCAATTCAATATGTATCTTATATCGGACATAGAAGAGAAAAACAATATTGTATTTTCAAGTTCAATTGCATATCGGGTGAATAGTTTTCTAGCCATATTCAGAAAATAATATCATTTTATATTGGCTGATATGTGATTCACTATATCATATAAGCAATATTGTTCACATATTGTTTTGAGAATACATATCGATATCGGAATTTCGATATTTATTCCATATTACGCACTCCTAAACCGATGTCGATAGATGGCGCTATAAATGATTGGTAACGTACTCTCATTGCCGATCCGACGAGAGAATTTAAATATTGGCTCTAGACGATTGTGAAGTATTATAACCTGGAGTAGGGGTTAACCGTGATCAACAAGGCGGCTTCCCGAGGGCAAGGCCCTCCCATTGCACTCCGGCTGGGCTGACCTTTGTGATTATTCCTGATGCGAATAACTCGCAAATATTGGTATTTAAATATTCCACCAATATTTTGAAGACAACATAGCTACATAATGATTTTCAATAATGTACCAATATTCCCAACCAATATATTGCACCAATATAACTTCACGAATATGCCAGCAATATTGGTATGAGAATATTCAACCAATATTTCTGAGACAATAACATACCTTCATGATGATTTCCAATGATTCACCGATATTTCCATATATTACACCAATATTGCCGAATGTTCACCATCAATTTCTCGCCAATATTGATATTACATTTTGTGTCCGATATTACTCTACGAATATTCAACCAATATTAATATGAGAATATTCTACCCACATTTGGAAACTGATATTGTACCAATATCGCCGAATGTTCACATTTTTTTTCTCGCCAATATTACTTTCACAATATTTTGCCGATATTTTCGTAATATTGCACCGATATTGTCCCAATATATGTGTGCTACTTGGGTATACTCACTACTTACATTTTAATTAGCTATGTCATTACTGAGAGTCTTCAGTGTTGTGAGATATAAGTGATATAACAGCAGTTTATGAAACCAAAATAAATGGATTATTGAAATCATAATTTTATAGATAAAGGATATTTCTGATTACGATTATTGAAGTTAGATTCCTTCGGTGAATATTTTCATAAAATTATTTCGAGTATTTCACCGGTTCCTCAAGAGGTATCAATTCGCGGTTTTCACCATTTTCATTCTCGTTTGCTCTTCTTTCATAGTAGAGTAGAATGAATATATGGTTTCATTTGGAATTTACGAAAAAAATTGAAAGTTGTCATATTTTTCAAACGATGCCATCTAGCGGCCACCACAGGAGTTAAATCGACTTGATTCGTGGTTCATCCGGAAGAACAAAAAAAAAGCTTCATAATGAGATCTAGATCGTTGGATTCCGTTACACCAAACTGTAGTAATGAGAGTTTTTCCAAAGTACTATTCATCCTTCCCTCTCTCTTTCATTTAAAGAGCTAGCGCAATTTTTTGTATCGAAATGATTGGAAATCAACTCGGGAACATGGAAACAGTGTTTTTGATATGTCTTGATATATCAAATTTTCATAAAAACCCGTTCATTAAACTGGCCAATGCAATAACGCCCTCTAGGGGCTGTCCTGGAAACTTGAAAATAATTTCCAGAGATTTCTCTTGGCCACTTTCATCATTCATATTTTTTGCGAAACCTGTGCCGTAAATAGTTTCCGAGATACAGCCGGCGTCCTTTCTTAGTGGTACACCCGGTATATAACTCGTTAGAAAGTGTATTTCATGCACTCGTTACATTTCCGTACTCGCTGCTTGAGAGATATTGCGAGTTGATTGAGAACCTGATGGAATGAAATTGAGAAAAATGAAGAAAATCAATAATCTAAATGATACTGATACATTGTTGAACTTCACAATATCAGTGTTATTTCAACATACATACAGCCGAGTTACTTCATTGTGTTTTCTGATTAATTATACTCTAACTCCATTTATCCTGTTTCACAGATGAAAGGATTATTTCCCGTGCTAGAGAAAAACGTGGAAAGGATGATGTCGTACTTGGACAATCAGATGAAAACGAGCACCTGTTTCGAAGCCAAGGAAATATTCGTCAGGCTCATGTTGGACAATGTTGCCGCTTGTGCTTTGGGCATCCAAGGAAAATGCTTCGACGAACCCTATTCTGAAGTCAGGAAGATGGCGGATCACTTCTTCTTCTCGAAGGGTATAACGAGTTTGAAGTTCATCATCATCTTCAACTTACCACCATTATCGAAATTTCTGAGGCTCAAGTAAGTGGGAATCTTTTGAAGATATTCGAGACACTGTTATTTTCTTTCTGAATATTCCAGAGTTGTCTCTCGCGATGTGGAAGATAAGCTACTGGATATAGTTAAAACTACATTGCAGTATAGGAAGGAGAATAATATAGTCATCAATGATATACTGGATTCTATTGCACAAATAAGTGCGACTCAAAATGTCACCGAACTAGATATAACTTCACATATTGCCACTTTCTTCACGAATGCCTTCGAGACAAGTTCACTGGTGAGTCCATTTCTTTTATTCTAAACTGATAATTCTTATATTTTCTTCTAGAGCATTAATTACTAGCAGACCTCGCAAACGTTCTGCCATAAACATTATTTGTATGATATATTTTTTCAGTTCAATATTGATCAAGACACTATCATTATTTTATTTTCTACTTCTTTTTAGTTTCACTATCTATAAAAGCGTGTTTATTTCGTTCTTCGAACTACCATTTATTTCGACTTGTTTTTAGTTCACTTGAATTTCCAAATTTTGACGAAAGAATCATAATATCCCAGATAAAAATTTTGAGTAGAATCGAACATAATTACAAAAATCGTCCGCATTATCGGATCTACCATCTTGAATTTCCTAATTTTGACGAAGGAATCATAATTTTTGATCCAAGAAACGCCCACTTACAAATCTTGAATAGACTCGGTATATAATTACAAAACACGTCCGGTATATTTGCTTCCACCGTCTCGAATTTCCAGATCCTGTCCTTTCTAAATCTTGCCAAAAGAATCATAATCTCCGACCCCGAAAATACCCAGATAACAATTTTGAAGAGAGTTGGATCATAATTACAATACTTGTACGCCATATTGGGTCCGCCATTGAGAATTTCCTAATTTTGACGAGAGAATTATAATCTCCGGCCCCAAGATTCACCAGATACCAAATCTGAATAAAATCGGATCCTAATTACAGAATCCGCCATTTTGGATCCGCCATCTTGAATTTCTTATTTTTGATGGAGGAATCATGATCCACGAAACCCCCTAGGTACCTACCGATTTTGAAAAGAATCGGATCACAATTACAAAACTCGTCCGCCATATTGGTTCCGCTATCTTGAATTTCCAAATTCCGCCAGAATTTTCAAATTTCGACAAAAGAATCATAATCTCCGACCCCGAAAACCTCCACATACCAATTTTGAATAGAATCGGACCATAATCACAAAACTCGTCCGATATTTTAGATCCGCCATCTTGAATTTCCCTATGGTACCGGAATGTATCCTATAACCTTCTCCTGGTTCTGAGCTACCTTTCCACCAATTTTCAGCCAAATCGATCCAGTAGTTCCGGAGCCTAATCAATACACACAAACAAACAAACAAACAAACAATCAAATCTTTCCCCTTTTTAATATTATAGTATAGATAAGCTTGTGGTTTTTTATTAGTCGAGACCATTAACATATTCGAATCATTTGTTGGTACTGAAATGTCTAATGAGGAAATTCGAGGTTTGGTATCTTGATCATGACACATGGTTTAATTTCCCCAGACGATGTCATTCCTGATCTATGAATTAGCACAAAATCCAAAGATACAGGAGAAACTGAGGCAAGAAATCAACGAATCCTACGAGAAGAACAACAAAAGCTTTTCATATGAATCTATACAGGACATGGAATATCTAGATGCCTGTTTTCGTGGTGAGTAGATCAATATAGAAGAAGAAAATTAATCACTACACACTATTTTACCACTAACAAAACCAATTTTTTACACCCCGACACGTGTTTTGCTGACTATGTTAGGAAGGAAGTGTTCTTCGAACCTTGTTCTTATGGGACGCCTGGTTTGGCCTATATATGTTTTATCACGAGCATTACAACTTATTTCGTATATTCCTGACTTTTCAAGTGTGTCTACCTTTTATTTTGGATAACCATAATAAATTGCCTAACTTTGACCCAGACTAATAAACCTAAGTCTTTGGAAACTCTATCAAGTTCTCTAGTGTACTTGGGATTGAAAGGGATTGGGATTCTTCTCGGATTGTTTTTATCCGCTTGAAAAGTCGTAGAATTCCTGAGTGATAACTTGAATTTATGTCTACGTATTAATACTATTTTGATATCATAACCATTGACGCCAGCCACTTTATAAACAACATTCCTTCCAACATCGAATCTGTGTTTACTCAGAGAAAATTAAACTAGTCTATGTAATAGGAAATCTAAACTTGCCATTTTGTGTTAAAAACAGTGATTCGTTAGTTATGTATCTAGGTGTGTTAGTCTCTTTTTTAAAAACATCAAACATATTTTCGCCATTTTTGATCACAAAAACATCTAAGAATGGTAATTGACCGTTGTTTTCTTTCGCATTCAAAAGTGAATTTGATAGAGGAGAAGCAATTAATCATTTGTGAAATGAAGTTATCTATATAAAAATATCATAAATCATTGATAAAAATATCGTCGACATATGTAATCCAAACCCTTGGGAAATCTCTAATTTTTCTTTTGCATTCCTTTCAAAACGATTCATGAACAGTTCAGCCAAGCGATGTGATAAACAATTATTACCTATGGCTGTACCTTCATGTTGTTAAATCGTGTGTAGCCGAACACATGTCCAATCACAATCATAACACACATATCAATAGCCACAAATTAGTTAAGCAAGTTGATCATGTTAGAAAATTATATGCATGTGAAAGCTCAAAGATATTTAAGAATAGTAATAGAGTGATGAATAAGGATAATGGACCTATGCCATTCAGTTCTCTGTATAGTTTAGTAATACAACATGTGAACTCAACCATGAATAACTTTTACTTGGCGGTTATCGTCTATTCAGGGTTGGGTGAACATATACCTAGTAGCTAAGTAGCCCACTAGGATAGAGCATTCAGTTTCAATCTTTTTCTGAAGATGCTAGCATAGTTAGCGAAACATGTGTCGAGGTGTAACAAATTGGTTTGGTTAGTGGTTAAACAGTGTGTAGTATTTTATCGTCCAAAAGGTTCCAGTCTTCGCTATAAGAAAATAAATGCCTAGTATATCTACCACATCTTGAATAATTTGGAGATGATTCACCATCAAATTTTAGTGATATTTCTGAGGGAATAGTTCATGAGGAACACTAAATTTATTTCAGAAAACCTGAGGAAACACGCTACTGTACCGCTGATGCCTAAGATCTGCACCGAGACATACAAATACGTGCCTACCAATCCAGATTTCAAACCGATCGAACTCACCTTGGAGCCTGGTACATCAATAATCATCCCATCCACAGCGATCCACCATGATCCCAAATACTACGAAAATCCAGATGATTTTGTGCCGGAGAGATTCTTAGGAAAGGAGAACATCAACAAATTCACGTATTTGGCTTTTGGTGGTGGACCAAGAATGTGCATAGGTGAGAAACAGTTCATACCTAATGTAGTAAGATCCATCATTTCACTCAGTTGAAATGCACAAGGCTCAGTATAATAAAACGTGGCAGTGTGTTACATGAAAAGTATTCCTCCTCAAGGTTATGACAGGATAGCCCGGAAGCCAGTGACCTTTCTTTATGACCAAATGTACAAAAGCTGAAAATATTTCCCAAGCTTCATTTAGTATCACTAGTGAGTGAATCGACGTCCAGCTGACGCACTTCATTAACAGAACTATAAACAAATATGAGGGCTATGCTCAATAATCTATCCCTATTATGTTCGCTAATGACCAAATAGTTGAAATATCTAATGGGTTGACCAAAAATAGCATCTAGCTTCATCAGCGTCCTTCACTGCATCAACTGGGCACTTTACTCCTACTTAATGTTGAGCTGGATGTTCTTCTCATTTATGTTATTAATTCAACTATTCGTTTACCAAATTTCAGCTTTTGCGTTATCAGTTTACTCAGCGCATGTTCTTAACTTTTCGACGTGGAGAGCTGGGGCATAATCCCCCACTCTCAATTCGGCTGGATACGTTTTTTGCTCTATTTGTATCATAATCAACATGTTAACAAAGTTCCAGCTTTCGCGGTATCAGTTTTCAACTACGACGCCGGAATTGAGCCAGCTGAAGATCCATTTCCTCAATGGTTATTTTTTTTTTTTTTTTAAGTCTCACAAACCACTACAAAAATACCTTAAATCTTGCATAAGTATCAAAATAATAGAGTATAAAAAAATCACAGCTACAAATGACATCACAGTACAAAAATGTACACGGATGACAGTCGAAAATTACAAACATCGGAAAGAATTCCATTGTTAGAATCATCAATGCTTTCACATTTGTATTGAAGAAGTCAACATCCCTATCCTCAAAAACACAGCATTAACATTTGGCTTAGAGGATTATCTGATGATGGGTACTCAATAGTAAATGATTCGTCACCAAATAAAGCTCGGGGAGAATTTTCAGCCTTTGTGAAATGACTTATTGTAGTAGTAGTAGGTGGGGAGGGTGTAGCCAAGCAAGTAGGCCCCGATGGGCTCTTTTTGATAACCCCTGCTCTCCACATATCTACGCTTCCTCCACCTACATTTCCTTTACTAATCTTCCCGACCTGAAGGCCAGTATGTCCCTCCACTCTAATATGATCAACTCCTCCTGTTGGAGTTTGTCGACTCCAAAGATTTCAAATCTCAGCCTCCCGTCTGCCTTGCACTCGCCGAGAAAATGGAGAGACGTTTCTTCGTCTTCCCCACATCAGCGGCAAGTGGGGTTGTCCTCTATTCCTATGAATGTTAGGTGTATGTCTTGAACTTTAATTCCTGAACTATCACAAAAAATCATCCCCTGAAGTTTGTTGCACTTATTTACTAACACCCTGTTCACAATATTGGGAAGTGAAATTTCTAGATTTGTATTCGCGAGATTCACGAAGTGGACGACATCTAGGTTACATAATACGAACTTCAAACTGGGGGAAAACCAACTGTTGTCTATGGATAAAGTACATAGACTACATTGCATTCATCTTGCTGTAGCATGACTACGTAGCTGTAGTCAAACTTGTCAATGACATGAAGTGTTGGCACTATTGGTAGTGATGATGGTTGAGTTGGTTAATTTTTTTACATTATTACATTTTTATTAGTTCAGTGAACAGTGAACGGGTGAAGAATTGGAGATAGTTCAAACAAGTCAAACTAATTATGACGAGCAAATCAATTGACATATAAAAGAACACCTACAACATGTTCACAATACCCAGATTGTTCTGCTTTGCAGGAACAAATACAGATCCATTGTTCTACAGGAGTTTCTCTGGACCCCAACTTCAATTTTACTTCATGTGGGGAAGATTTCATCGCCGAAATTTGTAGACAAGGTGCAAAAATGTGCCTCTTGTTGAATTCTTCTGCCTCACACAAAATTACATGATTAGCATGGAGAACTGGCTCCTCCTTCCACTACTGGTCGGCTTTTTCCATCTAAATAGAGCAAAATATCGGCCAAAAGAACATCTACAACAGGCAATCCAGCGTTTTCGATCGAATATTGACAATTAATCGGGTCGATTCTGTTCCGATCTTGTTATAACATTGCTAAGATAATAATATTGTTATGATCATAACATATAACAATATTGCTATGAAGTTCTGTATTCTGTATGCAGAGTAATTGCAAGACTGGTTATAAGTACAAGTGATAGCAATATTGTTGAAAAATTGGGAATTTTTGAGCTGACAACACTGTTTTCAACTCATTGTTTAAGTGTTAGGTATCGATTTTGCCATTATTTCATAAAGAAGAAGAGTTCATGAGATTCTAACCTCTCAAATTAGTCAGTCCTGCACTGACATTTTACAAAATTAGGTATATTGTTCAAATCGAAAGATTTTGTATTTGCTGAATCTGGTCGTCGTTGTGCGACTGGTGCAAGTAATCAATCATATCCCCGACATGAGAAAACAATTAAAAGCCGGATGAAAATAATCGTGATTTTTTTTAATATTCTAGCAATATAGCTTGATAATCTATCCCTCAGGCAACTGAAATGGTTTTTCTGGCTTCTCTGATATGCCGAAATTGTAGTCTCATATTTCCTCTACGAATTGAAACTTCTAGAAAAGGTTTTCAAGCAGTTGGTCACAGTAGTGAACCTTTCCTATATGATTGTAATCACCATTCTGCTAAGGTTTTCAATAATTGTTCTACGAATTGAAACTTTGAGGAAAAGTTTTCTAGTAGTCAGTGACACAACTGAACTCTCATATGTTTTTAATCCACTATTTTCTGAATTTTCATACTTGGAAGAATCTGTAGTGCAAAAACAAAGAATCCACTACCTTGTTATGAGATAGCAAGCACAAAATTGATGTTGCCGAGATAGCAAGAAAGCTGACCAGATGTCATTAAAATTGACAGATTATATTGCGAAAAATCGATGATTAGAACAATTAGAATTCCACTTTTTCGAATCTCGCTGTGATAGCAATATCTTCTCTACAACCATATTGCTATTTGCAAACAGAATCGACCCGAATGTCAAGGAATTCAAAAACTTATCACTATTAGTACACAGTACACAAGCTAATGGCACTGATGAGGATTGAGTTTGTTTTCCCCCAGTTTTGACGTGGCTTTGACATGGAACGATGAAAACCGAGCGCCACCTGGTAACATGGATTCAAGCGAATATTATGTGAGATGAATATTGAGGAAAACTAAGAGATGACGTTTTTTACAGGTACTCGTTTCGCTCTTTCCCAAATCAAAATCGGAGTCGCTCATCTGATCAAGAACTACGAATTCACAGTGAACCCCAAAGCCAAGATCCCAGTCAAATACGACCCCTTCTACTTCCTATTAACAGCCAGCGGGGGACTGTGGGTGGATGTCCGCAAAATCAACCAATAGGAAGACGCATGCTTCAGGGTAGTCCAGTACTACAGTCTCATCGATTTGCGAGTACTGAATTCATCTTTCGTACGTCATGTCTCCTAAGCTTTCGATATATCACGAAAAGTCGCAGTCGATGTCTCCAATTTAGATACTTACCAGTTCAAGAGCGGGCTGCAAATTTCGACCGTCATCTGACAACGAAATGATATACAGGGTATGTCACTACGAGCATACACTATCTTTATATCGAAAATCAGTCGGGAGAAATCCATGAAAATGTGCATGCTTATATTTCAGAATACGCTCTCCTCATTTAAAATGTTTTCGATAATGCAGTGTTTCTACTTCTACTAGAAAATAGTAGCAACATTGATATTTCAAATGTTTTCAGATTCTCCCTGAAGAGTTTATTTTATCGATATATTTCACTTGGGGTCAATCCAGAGAGATTTCAGAGATATAGGGTGTTCAAAATCGAGATTTTTGAAATTTAGGATTTTTTTGGTGTCGAACCTATTCATTATTCATTTTTTATCCCAACTTTCGATTCACTATTCACTGATATTTTATCGGAACAGATACAGGGTTTGGTATTGGTATTGGTATTGGTAGGTTGGATGGTGACAGATGCGCTGCGACCCAATTAGATCTATTGTGCCCCATCTGCTCCTGCTATATCAAGGATTTCTTGTTCATAGCAGCCCCTCGAGATTCAATTCCTTCAGGAATTTGAGGATTTTGAGGGGGTCTAGCTGTGGTATTTCTTCCACAGTCAGCTGGTGTGTTCCCAGTATGTTCAATCTTTTGTGATGTACAGCGTCACACTCCATCAGTATGTGATGGGGTGTTTCTGGTTCTTCCTCACAGAATCTGCAGATGCCGTCCTCCTGTAAGCCTAGCTTCCTTAGGTGTTCTTTGAGTCTGCAATGCCCTGTTAAAAATCCCGTTATTGCTTTGAGACTTCCTTTGCTGAAGTTTGTCAGTGTCTTCGATCTTTCTCGGTTGAAATTTCCAAGGAGATCTTTAGCCTGTCGTAGTCCTGGAAGTCTTCTCCATTGTCTGGCTCTCCAGGCTCCTTCCGCCTTCTCAAGTTCTCCTTGGAAATAGGAATTTTCAAGGCCTCAGAATGACTCTGGTCCGATCAGTGGCGTTGAAGCCCCTTGTCGTGCCAGAGCGTCTGCTTGTTCATTCCCCTCCACTTCGATATGCCTTGGCACCCAGAGGAGGGTAACTTTATTGTTGCTGCCTAGCTCATTCAAGATACAGGGTTGTTCAAGATTCAGAACTCTGATCACCCTGTATCTGTCCCGATTGAATATCAGTAGATAGTAAATGGAAAGTTGAGATAGGGCCATGTGAGCCGTTTTGGGCGATAATGAATAGTTTCGACACAAAAACTTCTAGATTTCAAAAATCTCGATTTTGAACACCCTATATCTCTGTAATCATTTTCGATAGACCCCAAGTGTGATGCATCGATGAAATCAGCTCTTCAGGAAGAATCTGAAGATGCAATGAAATACAGGGTTTTCTATTTGAAATAACAAAGTTGTTCCACTCAAATTGGAAATCCGACGTTTCATCTTTAAGTGGCCATCATCAACTTTATTTTTATAAATACGGACCTAGGTTTTTCATTTCATTTTTCGATAGTTTTCAATCTCCTTGATATGATGGTGTACCAAAACAATTCATGACATGTTCATTTCCGTGAAAAAAAATGTTCAAAACAGGTATGTAGATACACATTATTCAGTGCGAAGCTACTACGTTATTGAATTGCTCTTATTCGAAATGTATTATCAGTTATACCAAACTGAAAATGAAAATTGCACAATTGTTGATTATTTGATTAGATGATATTTATGTTCATTTCACTTGATTTTTTCTGATTTTCTCTCCTCGTTTCTATAAAATAAAATATGCGTATTTTTTCAATATATCTGTAGTGGGACAAATCAGATATGACTTGCCCCAAAATGTCACTGCGTTTAACAAATTTTTCAATGAGGGAGCCTAAAAGAAAAATCCAGTAGCTTGTCAGTGACAATTTGTTTGAAAAATATTTGAAAGAAAGAAAAATAGATATATTGAAAAAATATCGAATTTTTCCTCCAAACATTTTTTCACTGACAGGCTACGGGATTTTTCTTTTAGGCTCCCTGATAGAAAAATTTGTTAAACGCAGTGACATTTTGGGGCAAATCATTCGATTTGTCCCACTACAAATATATTGAAATAATACGCATATTTTATTTTATAGAAACGAGAAGAGAGAATCCCAAAAAATCAAGTAAAATGAATGTACCACCTCCCCGATTATCATACAGACAGTATTTAAGATATTTTTGAATGATCAAAACACAAGTTGATCGCACAAATAATATCCAATATAAAAAAAATCGGCATATTAAGTGTTCTTCCATAGTAAATGGTCAAAAATATATTCGTTTGCGATTGAGCATTCATTTGCTCCTTCTTAAACTCTTTTCACATACCTTTCAACAGATCGCATTAGTAAAGATCGAAAAGTTATAATTTGCTGCCACAGTTCTTCTATAGAGGCAATGGAAAGGTTTTTGTAAACGCTGTTCTTTAAGTTAATTTTTTTTATATTGGATATTATTTGTTTGATTAAATTGTGTTTTTATCATTCATGGAAATAATTTCTTCAAATAAACAATTGTTCAGTAACTAATGATATTCATTTTAAATAAGAGCCATTCAATCATGTAGGGGGTAATTCGCACTTAAAAATTGATCGAAACAAAGACGAATTAATACCAAAAACTTTTTGTTAGACAAAGACGAGTATCTCCATACTTTTTTCTAACAATTTTTTCAGTGGAGTAAATACTTCAAGTAATGTTTTGATACACTCCCATATCAAGGGGATCGCACAACTATCGAAAAATTAGATGAAACATCCAGTTCCGTAGTTAAAAAATAAAGTTGATGATGAAAAGTGGCGATGATGAATTACATTCATTTTGAAATATAACTCCAGCTGAACTGAAAAATAAAAAAACGATTTCGTATATTTTCCTTTTTTCTGGATATCTACGGAGATAATTGAGATTTTTTCGTTGAGCATGAAATGGTGCAACTTTGCCCTTATTTAACCAACTCTGTATTCTTCGAGGTTACCGAGATCCCCATGCTCAGCCACGAATTTGTAACACCCTGTATATCATGTATTTTATTAGATGACGGTAGAAATTTGCAGTCGGCTCTCCTACTATACGTGTAGCTATAGGTCGCGTGCACGAAGACCGACCCTGGAGGCAGAATATTGAAACACAGCCTCATTCTTCTGTGAATTATTGAAACACAACCTCACTTTTTTATTTGGTTACAGAGGAATCAAAAGGTTGAAATAGTTTTTCACAATATTTTGGCATACGAATCGTGTTTCTTGCGTTATTCATTAATTCAAGCATGCCTTCGCATTGTGCTGTTGTACAATGCACAAAAAATGCAGCAAGAGACTAGGGAATATGATTTTTCAGGCAAATAGTAATCTCACATAGTTAGCATTATGAAATGTTGTCATTCCCTTTTAAAATTCCTTCTGCCTTCTGCCACTTCTGCAATACAAGCTAATGCTGCTAATAGATTGAAAATGTATACAACACACACGATCGTCAGCATGTCAGACCAGTCCTACCGATTGATTGCATGAATCCAATCTTCTTGCATTATTCTAGAAATTTCAGGTATATTTCTATTAGCTGCTCCTATTGCAGAAGGAATTCCGATGAGAAATCAGAGAAATAACCAAAGTTCAAAAATGAAAACTATGAGTGACTATAGTAGGTACTTACTTTTGAATCATAATGTACCATCCGGATTTCTTCATCTTCCGCTGCAGTTTTTGTGCATTTTACAACAGCACAATGTGATGGCATTAGCGAATTGATGAATAGCGGAAAAATACGATTCATATGCCAAAATAATTGTGGAAAACTATTTCGATCACTTGTAAACAAATATGTTTTGCCTCCAGGGTCGGTCATCTGACAGTTCTTGCACGCGACCTATTTCCGATTTTCCACAGGGCTCTCATTCGATGCCACTGCTAATGTTCATTTTGATGGATATGCAATTCTTGGTATACAGTATAAGTGGGAGGAAAAATTGATAGACTTTGATTCATTCGACAGAACATCATATTATTATATTCATTCAAGTATTAATGGAGGTTGATGGTGTCGTTTAACGGTTGAAGGGACAGAATTTGAAAATAATGAAGTAAGCTGATACTTGAAGAAGTCTTATTTCTCAGACAATCCCAAGTCTTTCTTGTGAGACGAGTTACTTAAGTTAGCTTATAGTAAGTTAGTTAGTCAGTACTTTTATCATGCGTTTGAGAGCATAGGTAATGTATAACTTCAGGTAGATATAAGTGACAAACACATATATATTGATTTATTGAAGTGTTGAGTAAGTTCTATCATCTAGGAATATAAGTTAATCATGAATTAATTCCAAATATGTTTGAAAACAATATAACAGCAACTGTCATCAACTTCTTTATCGATTTATTATTCTCCTCTCTTATTCCAAATCTATATAGTGAACCGTGGAAGATTTAATGACATAATATACAGGGTGAGTCATGACTAACCAGCCATAGCCTAATGGCGGATAGCGGAGGTCAAGGTGAGTTGATATATATGTGAACAAATATTTTTTGCCTATTCTTCACAGAAATACAGGGCATTATTTGAATTCGGGGCAAAAATTCAATGAACGATATTTCAGGAACGTCTCGATGTTATCGGCTGAAATTCACTAGCAACTTACCTCTACTGACACTCCACAAGATGACGTACTATGAATGAAAAATTCCAGATCCGGACTTGGAAAACTCATTTTCTCTTTAGATGTCAAAATTTTGACCTTCTGGATCGGATTTTTCGGAAACTTTCATCAGAATCAGAAAGATCAGGAAAAATACTACAAGTATGGCTTCTCAATTCGTACGGCACACTTCGATCGTTTTGGTAAAAAAATTTCAAACAAAATACCAATGAATTTTTCTTCGATTTCGTCCGGCCATATCATTCTCTAAATTCGACTGAAAGTAATTAAATCAAATTTTTCCCTGGAATGATTCAACAGCAGACTTGAGAAAAGGTTTAATTCAATAAAAAATCCAGGAGCGGACTTGATTTTCAATAATAACAATTATAATTTCCGAAAA